ATTGTAACCAATGTAAACTACCGCTCGCTCAGCGAGCCAATCACAATCCAACATTTTGGGGTCCACCTAGACACCATGTCTACGTAGACCCCAATCGGGGAGTACGTAGACACTTCCATAAACTATTGTCTCAGATACCACGCAATTGGCTCCTACATACGTATGTGGGGATGGGTATCCAGCGGGATTTTACTGGATGTTTTTACATATATCTATCGACACGATTTAGATCATTTAGGGGGCAGGCTTTGACCTTGCCTGTCAATCAGAGCCAACACAGGCTGAGAAAATTGAGTACACGTAGCAGAATATAATTTTGTCCGACTTGGTGGATCTTCTGTGAGCGTGCGGCGAAAGCGCCCAACCACAAGGACGCTGAAACACCCTGTGGTGTAGGCCTAAATCAGCAAAAATGACCGCTACAACTGAATGCTAACTACTACTACTACGTAACTGGGAGTTTAGAACGAATTGCTTCGAGCCAAGCGTCTCGGCGAAGTGATAAAATGGGACTGTGAAGTACATTTGTACATAATTAGGGAATAATGTGAGTTTAGAAGTTACTGCAATCTGCTATTAGTATTAGATCTACTCTCTCAACACCGGCTTGTAATCATGCCCTGCCAGGATTCCCCATGAGATGCTACAACTACAAGTTATGAACAGTTGTGCAGCCAGATAAATCAAACAACCCCCCTCAAAAGACAAACAACCGAATGTCTCTCCAAATTATACAGTGGAACTCGGATTCAACGAAAGGAGATGGATACCCCCGTTTTTCTTCTTAAAAATCAATTTTTAAAAATAATAAACCGGATTCAATGAACACTTAGTTAGCAAGCTAGGATTCAACGAGGTCGCTTCCAGGCAGGGTGAACAGCCCCCGCAGATGTGGCTTCGCTCATTTTTCTCTCACAACGATCTTTATATCTATTCCCGAAAACCATTCATTGCACCTGCATCGTGAAGCATTTGTCACTTAGCCGATTGCATGCGACCAATCAGCGTCCTTCTTTGAACCAACACATGCGTTGTTGGCACGCACCCGTGTCTACTCTCGCGTGTGTCGGGGTTGGATGGTGACTGTGTGTGCGTGTCCAGGGGGGCACCATCGGTCAGTCATGGAACAGCGCAGATACAAACGCGTCAGTCTTCTCCCCCCCCCCGCCAACTTACAATGATAATGTAGGTAGATCTACGTAATGAAATGTGTGCTGGTCTATGGAATCAATAGTTTCCGTATGCTTTTTTGCTAGGCTCTACATGACACAAACACAACTTTTTGACAAACAATCGAGATAACATTTGAACAAATTGGTCTTTTTTTTTGCTCAGCTCATAAGCAGGCATTTCAGGCACCATGTGTTACTTCTTTTTACACATTACTTGCTCATTGACTGTAATTTTCTACACAAAACCTCAAGTTGGCTATTTAATTATGAACACTCGAATTCAACGAGATTTTAGGTCAGGCCTGGCGACCTCCTTAAATCTAAGTTCCACTGCACCTGGTACCCCGGTACTTTCCCTGTTAATTCATACTGTCTGATAACATAAAAATTTTCTGTGCCTATTCTAGTCTGAAGCTATCATTCTTGTATAGAGATGATTTTCATAAGGACTTAAGAGCCTCTTTAACAGTCACACACACAAAAAACAAAAACCCCCACATTACAACTTGACCAATATGGTAATTCACTACAAACAAGTCCCCTCAACGAGTATACGAAAACAACTTTGTACAGCAGGGTGATTTCGTTATGACAGGTTTCTGTCTTGACGAGGTTCGACTGTATATGTATTTTCTACAACATATGTACTGAGTGAAGGAAGGGAGGAGAAGGCAGACCACCTTTAATTTTTTTTTTAAAGAGAGCATTATTTTTAACTCTGCAGAGCAAGAAATCAAACCCACGATCCAACAACTGTAAGAACAGTGTTCTAAATACTAGACCAGAACATCCCAAGTATTTCGATTTAGTTTTAGCTCGAGTTTACAGCACTAACAATACAAATTCTAGTGCTGAAGATCAGGTGCTCCTAGCGAGTAACAAACCTACAAGGAGAGATCAGGGCGATAGATGTTTAATAGGAAAGAAGGAGCACACCACATCAGAGCACCTGTCAAATACCCACTCCCCTAGTACTCAAAGCACAACAAATTCAGGTCAGAAGTCAACTGTGGTATACTTTTTTAATCGACTTTCTTTCATCAACAAAACACGGAGCCAAAAGCAATGTTGACATGAAACAAAATGATGAAATGACATACAGCTGTAACAGTTCTTGGTACTGGTACATACAATTCTACAATTTAGCCATTCAGATACATTCCAACCCAACACTCAACCTTGCAGTTAGGGACAACAAAGCATGAACAACTACTAAAATGCTTTAATTTGAAGTGCCACAAACATTAAAAAAAATTGGGACACATTTCAAAAACTTTCTAACTGCACTGGGAAGTAGCTTTTATGAGTTGATATCCCTTGGACAAGCCGGAACCTTGACATTAAAAATCTACCCAGCTAGAAAAATTTCACCTGTCCCAACTGTCTGGAAGCAGGAAAAAAAGACACTATAATAACTATTCATTGAACCATATTGGAATTAATATCTTTTTCTTTGAGACGACTGGAAATTTCATTTCAACAAGATTTGGAGTTTAGCTGGCATTAATCCATTGCTTGAACTAGCAAAGACAAAAAGTAAAATGCTTTATCAAGTAACGAAGACAGGCGATAGAACTTAAGATGGTGGTGGCGGAGGAGGGGGTGGGGCCACAGGAGGGGGAATGCCTCCCATGGGGGGTGGGGGTGGCACTGGTGGAGGGGGAGGGGCCGACATTCCAGGGGGAGGCGGGGCCGACATTCCTGGGGGCGGGATAGGTGGAGGAGGCCTCAAAGGAGGGGGCGGGGCCATGCCAGGAGGCATCATGGGAGGGGCTGGGACTCCGGGAGGGGGCGGGATGCCAGCAGGGGGGCCAGGGGGAGGGGGGAGACGGACTCCCGGGGGTGGCATCATCCCCCCTGGAGGTGGCATGGGAGGAGGGGGGAGGCGGGGAGGGGGAGGAGGCCCGGCCATCACTGGAGGAGGCGGGGCTGACGCTGGCTGTAGAGGTTTGGGTGGTGACGGAGGGCGGGTGCTCTTCAAGTCCACTTTGAAGGCAAACTGTAGGAAGAACTGAGGACAAATGGAAGAGCAAAACAAAAAAGTCAAAAGAGTAGAAAAGGGAAGAAATGCAGCACATGTCCCCAAAACATGTACACATAGTCTCATGGAAGGATTAACCCTTAGAGCGCCCACTTCTTTCCCCTTATATTTTCCCTCAGTGCTGAATTTATTTTGGAAAAACACCAGATTTGCACATACGCTTTTTTTTGCAACTAACTTTTTTATTTGTCAAAATTTCTAATGAAGGTAAGAATAAAAGTTTTAGAATATTGAAAGTTCTTTGTGAATATGTTAAGCAAAAGTATTTTGTGAAGTGAAGTTATTGCTGTAGTAGTGGTGTTGGAAATGACTGAATAAAAACTGCCGGTTCATTAGATCTCTAGATCTAGACCAGAGTCTAGATGCTTCGTAGGCCTACGTTATATTCCACAAAGTGATAGCTCTAGCATCAAAACCCTCGAAATCATCTTCCAATTCAAGGAAAATACGCAGAACATCTTCATCTGAATCTGATGCTACACTATTTTTATGTTCGTCACGGGTCGAAATCGCGAATTTTCCGACTTCACTATCACTCGACTTCAACGTGAAACAAAAAACTCCTCGCCCCTCAATCGAACCCAGTGATAAGAAAAATGGTGGCCGAAATCAATTCTGCGTAGCCTACCAGCCAGCAGTATAAAAATTAGTACTTAGTTCTTTTCGTACATCACGTTATACTAGACCAATGTCTACCTCGACCGGCAGTCGCGATCAGCACTTTACGGAAGTTCGGGCCGGCGCGACCAGTGGACGCGATCAGCACTCTAAGGGATAACTTGCATGATGATAGCCACATTCTCCCAGGAAGAAAATAAGGACATTAAAAGAGAAAATTACAAAACACAGACAAAGAAGGTGAGCATTAGAGTTTAGAGTGTTGCTGAAAATTAAATAAATAGTGACAAAGCTAAATGTGAAACGACTGAATCAGAGCTCATAAAAGCGATTTTTTAATGAGTTATTGCATTTTCCTAGATCTCTAATGTCAAAGAGTGCCCTGCAGAAAAGCTTTACCAACATTATGCCTTGAATATTTGCAGCATAATCATTACATTCTTTATTTTCTGACACTGAAAAGAATAAAAGAAATGAAAATGACAACGCTTTTGATATTTTATTAGTTTCTGACTTCCGAGAAAATCTGCCCTATTGATCGTTCACCGGGCAATCTCATACATTTGCTTTTATTCACTTGACATTTCAAATCCAATATGAATTTGTATCACCATGTTCATCTATTAGGCACTACCCTCATGTACCTTCATATAACAAAAGCATGTGATTTATTGATTTGTAACTTCCAGGGCACAATTTGATTACAACCATTCAATAATATTAAAAGTTGGCCAAGCTGTAGTCAAGGACCCAGTCAATAATAACACTAACCTGTTTAGTCTCCTTGTTCCAGTGCGTCCAGAGCTTGCGAGGGTCCTTGTCCACCTCTCGGCTAGGAACCTGTGGAAATATGACCAAGAAAATTATGATGCTGTAAGAGCCATTAACAGTTCCGAAAAAGATCTATTGTCACAAAGCTGTACCTGGGAGGGGCGGGGAAAGAAATGCTTTTGATAAAGATTATTTATATTGTGGGTTAGAGGGATCAAATTAAAGAGGATCCTGTACTTAAACGAAAGGTCCCATATGTATTAGTGAAGTCCTTTGAAGTTTTTGAGAGTTTGCCTTAAATTGTCTCCAGGTTGCCAGTGACACCAAGTCCTCTAGAAATTTCACACATAAGAAGTTGCAGAAGCATGAGAAAACAAACTTTCTATGTTTTAGTGGCACTCTTGGTGCAATAGAATGCGAGTGGTGTGACCTACTCTCCACAAATTAAAACTGTTGTTAGCCAACAACAGAAACAATGGCACTGAATATAAACAGACTTCGGTAATCTCTTAAAATAACAACCCCCCAACGTACCATAAAATAACTAATAGGGGTCCTCGAACAGTCTCTCCAAGAAACATTATGATTACAACAAAGATTTCTCAATACATGTTGGAAAAGTAAATCAAGGTTACCTTGAAGGCTATGGTCTCGTAAGGCTCAGCTGCAAACAGCAAGTACTGCCATCTCCTGTCTGGGGGCTCAATGCGCTGCTCGTAGGCCGCCATAAAGCGGTAGCGTGGCTGGATAGTCTCCACTATCTCCGGGTAGTCAATCTAGAACAAGAGAGATAATAATATATTTTATCCATTCTCCACATAGAAAAAAATTGACGCCATGCTTATTTCCAACGTAGGATGGGGTTTAAAAAAAAGGACACAAGGGCAAGGGCAGACAATGCAAAACTTGGCTGGTTGGCGTCAAAGAGGTCCTCCAAAAGAATAACATTTCAACAACAGAAGCCACAAACTTAGCTCTTGACCGAAAATTGCACCTATCCTCGACATCTATTTCAACACTGCTTGATTGAGAAGCCAAGTAGGTAGAGAACCCTCACGGCTCCTTAAACAACCCAAGTTAAAAAACACTCGACCGGGGATTCAAACCAAGGTCATCTGCACAACAGCCCAGCACGACATCAACTGAGATAATATCATTTATATGCAGACCCCTCATCACTCTCAGTGTCTCATATTATTAAAAAACACATATGTCAACAGAAACTGGCTTATACAGTGGAACTTGGATTTAACGAGCTCGGATTCAACGAGATGAGATAGATTCCCCTTTTTTTTTCTTCTTTAAAATCAATAAAAATAACCCGGATTCAACGAGCTCTTAAATCAGCGAGCTCGGATTCAACGAGGTCACTTCAGGGTGAACAGCCCCCGCAGACGTGGCTTCGCTCATTTTTCTCCCAGAACGAACTTTATCTATTCCCAGAAACCATCCATTGCAACTGCATCGTGAACCATTTATTCACTTAGCTGATTGCATGCGACCGATCAGCGGCCTTTTTTTTCATACCAACACATGTGTTGTTGGCTTGCGCACGTGTCTACCCTGGCGTGTGTCGGAGTCAGATGGGCGGCCTGCACACATGTGACTGTGTGTGTGTGTGTCGGGGAGGGAGGGGGCGCACTAGCAATCCGGGCGTTGAACGTCGCAGATACAAACGCGTCACAGTCTTTTTCCCCCCCTCGGCAACTGATCATTATTACAATGATAAATTATTCTTGACGTAGATCTTCGTAATGAATTGTGCACTTGTCTATGAAATCAAAAGTTGCCGTTATGCTAGGATCTACACAGCAACACAACTTTGTGTTAAACAATCGAGATGACACAGGAATGCATTTGAATGAATCGGTCTTTTTTTTTTACACAGCTCATAATATGCGGGCATTTCAGGCACTATTTGTGACTTCTCTTCATACATTACTTGCTCCGTGCCTGTAATTATCTACACAAAACCTGGCCTTATGTTTGCTATAACGAACACTCGGATTCAACAAGATTTTAGGTCAGGCCCGGTGACCTCGTTGAATCCGAGTTCCACTGTACAACACTCACACCAATACACACAACTGCTCTCACTCCCATAAAACAATTTTTAAAGTGAAAGCAACATTTTTTGAGACGGCAATCCTATCATCAGAGAGGGAAAGTTTGATGAATTACTTGAGAGCAAGAGACCCAAAATGGGAGGAAAAAACGGGAACCATACTAAAAACATGATGGCCTAAAATTTTATTTTAAGTCATGAAAAATATAAATTCAGGAGAATTTCAGCACAAATGCATTTACACACAAAAGTACTTAGAGTTGAGTTTGTAATAGTCAACATTCATTGCCTATACATTACATTTTAAAATCCATGTAAAGAATTTCTTTATACTGAGACAATCCATAAATCCAATCATCATTTTTATACTTATTCACCAGTACAACAATTAGGGACACGACAAATCTAATAACAAAACAACCATAATAATACTTAAAAGTAGCTGCGATCACTTTAGCTTCGCTCAGTTTCAGTAAAAACTCTAAGGCACTTGCAACATAATATAGTCATATAAATGCCGAAGATTAGAGGAGTTACAAGACAGTAACAATTACAAAAAAACCAAGAGATAAGGATACCAGATGTTCAATAGGAAAGAAGGAGGGAGCAAACAACACTACAGCAGCCACCAACCACCCACGGAACAGGAAAGGTAGACAGAAACACAGACAGACAAAAATATTAACTCACTTCAGACGGTTCACACAACAGTTGCGTGACCCCCGCCGCGATGGCTCAAACAAGCCCTGCGTGACCAACTTTGGAATTTTTTTTTCGCTCTACAAATCACGCACAGATCGTGAGACCCGCCACGTACTCTTGTTTGGCCAAGCCTGAGCTACTTAGACTTCGTTTCGTATCTCTGGGGTTACTAGTTTTTAAGTTATTGAAGGTGAAAGACAGTGACCCCAACTGGGGTTGAACAGACCGGAACTCGCGCTTTGTTTTTTTCTATACAGCTGATAGTAATCCGACAGTCTAGACCTGCATGTGAGCCTCAACCAGATTGTCTGAAAATTTTGCGCACCCCCCCCCCCAACTTATAGGAGCTTTTAAATTGTGGGTGTTATAAAAGGAAGGACTTCCGAGTTACGAGCGACCACCCGAACAAAGACAATAAAGAAGAGACCTAACCTAACCCAAACCCTAGGCCTAACCCAAAAAAGAACCTGCAACAGCCCTCATGTAACAAGGCCAGCACAAGTTGTTTTTTTTAATTAACAAAAATAAAAAGCACATTCCAAAACAAACAAGCCTATATTGCTATTATAAAAAGAGTTTGATACAATAATACATAGAATAGGAATATGAATCCTCCATATAGATCTAGATCTTGTTATATTATAGATCTAGTGATCTAAATAAATCTAGATCATCTAGATATTAGATCTTGTAGAACAAGTGAATAGGAATAGGCCTTGAACGAGAAATCCGCATCCGATTCCAAACCGATGGGCTCAGCTGAGTCTAGATCTAGAATCTAGATCTAGATAAAGATTAGATCTTTATTCTAAGTAAATAATTCACGCACCTGATGAAATGCGTTTTACCAACATTAATATTACAGCACAACCTATAATAAGGTTTGACACAATAGAATTGGAATATGAATCCTCCATTGAGGTCTATAATGATCTATAAATTTAGATCAAGATCTAGATCAAGTAGAACAAGTGAGTCGGACTCGAAAGAATCCACATGATCTGAACTATCAGTAAACAAACGAAATTCAAAATGGACGCTCGAGTATGAAACTGAAAGTAGATAATTTCGGTCGTCGTACTTTTTCGTATTCGTATCTACTACTCAGGTTCCGACAATTATGTCGGAAACGCCGACGTCGGCGGTCGGCAAGAAAACGAAAGTGCCGACAAAGCCGACGGGGGAAAAAGGGGGCGCTGGCAGTCGGCCAGGCCTCGCACTTCGCACATGATAGACTGATGCAGGCGGGCCTAGCGATAGCATCGGTCGGGTCGCGGGTTGGGTCGCGATTGTCGGATTTCAGACGATTGTCGGCAAACATGCAGGTCTAGACAGTCGCGTCGTAGTAACGGTCGAAGAAGTCGCATGAACAAGAATCACATAATTTCGACGTTTTCTATACTTCTGTACGTTGTACTAGTTCTAGTGTCTCAGAAAATGATGTGTCTGATAGTTAGGATCCTGGATATGTATCCGAACACGGCCCGAGTCGTAGTTCTAGGGCTAGATCTAGCACTAGTACTGGTGTTGTTTTTCGCGCAACGAAATCACGTCGTGCCGTACATCTGTCTCATGTAATTCAGTGTATGGGTCTGAATCAATGCACAGACCAGCTTTTATATTTTCACCAAACACTCGCACATGTATACAAATCAAACCAGAACACTTTGAACTTTTATTTTTGTTGTTGTAGTGAATTTCATTTTACTTGTCACGTCTCTGGAAATTTTTCGGAAAATCAAATTCATGCCAATTTTTAAAAAATCATACAAATTAAAGTATTAGACTTAGACAACTTTAGTTTTTTGTATTAGATTAAGATTGAATGTTACTTTATTGTGTCAAAAAAATAATTACAATAGGGTAATTCTGAGAGTTGTGGTGATTTATTGAAATAGCCCCAAAAACGCCAGTCTTCAACGCTTGTGACTGGTGAAAGGGCCCAGTCGCAAGTGAGTTAAAAGGTAATGAAAAAAAAAGCCACAAGTCCAAAAAACCAACATACCTGGAACAGCAGAGACTGCTGTGTAGACTCTGGGTCTCTCTGCTTGGTCACTGTAAATACAAGACAAAAACAAAGCTGATGAATAGAGGAATACAACTCTTACATATTTTTACCACCCCCCCACACACACACTCCCCTCCCCCACAAGATTATTCAGGAATTTGCTCAGTGCTAAAGATCATAATTCTTATTTCTAAAGAGAGAAACATGAAGGGAGCTCATCTCCAAGAGAAAGTTTGGATGTACCTTTGTAGCCAGGTCTTCCAATCTTCACAAATCTCTTGATGTCGACCTTGGGTCGTTCTGGGGCCGGCTGAGCTGGAGCTTCCTTCGCCTCTTTAGCTGCGCGACGAGCCCTGTGGGAGACAATCAAGCAAACTAAATACATTTTTTTTAAAATGCTTTACAGGAGTGACATCCTCAATACATTTATTCTCTCTTGGAAATACAGTTGAACCTGCCATGACGGCCACCTGTAAAATACGACCACCTGTACAGACTGACACTTTCCATTCCCCCCTTGCGTTTTTTTCTACATAATTTAACTGTGTAAAACGGTTACCTGTCCAATGCGGCCACGGCCACCTTATTTTATCAACCCACAGTCACATTTACCTGCCTCGGGCAACCAGGCATGGTCACTCATTGCCCGATGCTTTGTCAAGAAATTTTGAATTGGCCCCTCACACTGTGGAAAGGCCGTCATAATTCATTCACCTGTCTTTATTGTTAGTCCCTCTATCCCTCTAGTGAATGTTTACCCAAGTTGACCAATGGGTAGGCCTAACAATAAATTTTAAACTGCTGGTGAGGGAAGCGTAATTCGTCATACCTATAAGCCCCGCCCACAACTCAGGCACAAATCGTGTGTGAGGTGACCGGTCACTGTTTTGTACATCTAATCTGTAACAAAGTTTGTTTTACCATGGCACTCGGTTTTCATCGTCTTGCTTACATAATATTTCGTTCATTTTACCCTAGCACAAAATCAGTAGGCTAACAAAAAGAAAGCTAACCAAAAAACAACAACAATGCAACAAAATAAAAACCCTTTTGAATTCGCCTTACAGAAGTCCTAATCCTGAGATCAGCCCCAGTTTGGACCTCAAAAGAGAATGATTTGCTTTCTTTATTTTGATCACTCCTGCCTAAGACAGCCACCTGTGTTATAAAGCTACTTTTCCTCATGACAACGGGTGGCCGTTTTACACAGGTTTGACTGTATTTCAAACAGAATTCCTTAAAAGTTAGAAAATTGGGAGGTAGTATCAGCAAAGAAAATTGAATACTTCCCTCATCCACCTTTGTCTTTTAATTACAAATTCAAACTTGTTAAAGTATGCCATTATACATAAAGATACAGCAAAGACAAGGACAGTACTAGAAGAAATTTCTTATAGGCAAAACCACAAACTAAATGCTGTAGGGAAGATGTGCAAATGCGCTTTCTTGACTCTTTAACACAAAATTACATTACGTTTTGACAGAATTTATTCCAGATCGTGTGAAACATGTAACGGGGGACAAACGCGAAATATTCATAAAATAGTTAAAATTGTTTCGAATAGAGGGAGGAAGTAGTTTATACACTTATCTAACATTTGTAAGTCGAATTAAATCTACTCAGATTCATTTAAAAAGAGATTGTATTAGCAGCAATGCTTCATGCACTCTGTGATATGAACTGTCGCTGGGACCGTCCACTCAGGGACTGGGCAAGTTTAACTGCACGCTGCAATTGTCCACTCAGGGTTTTAGGGTTAACTTTCATGGAAACTATCTGCACTGAGTCATATCATAATAATAAACAAACTAAAGACAGCACAACACATATTTCTGAGTACAAAAATTCAGCTTATTTCTATGACAATTGAGCACACAAGTGTTAAATAGTTTACAGAATACTTACAGGTTACTTTGATGCTTCTTGCCTTGGGTATGGGCCAGGTAGCTTCCCTGTCAAAAGTGTAAACGTCCCAATTATAATTATGCAAATAAACTACACAAAACATTTTCTATTCATGACAGCACTTTTTGCAGTTAAAGGAATCATATAGTAAACAATCCTGAAAGTCCAAAAGTATATCAAATAACAGTTTGAAATGACTAATTAAACAAAAGAAGAAATGGTAAAATTAATAACATAATACATGACCAAAAGAAAATTAAATACTTGACAAAATGCTCACAATTAAAACAGTAGCGTAATAATGATAATGATACATGATTTAATCACCCTTTTTATCAACTTATGGATATGTTCTGCTCATCTTGCAGGAGTCCAATTTCTTTTCATGAGCAAAATACAAACAGAATTGAAGGATAATGGTTTATATTTAAACTATAAAAAAAAAAAAGTAGTCGTTACCTCATTGTTATGAAGAGTCAAACACAACTTGCATTCGTAAGAGCCAAGGTGATTTTTCATAAAATAAGGATCCTGTAAACAAACAAATGTTATAAAATTATAAAATATTAGCCATATATGTCACATTTAACCCCCCCCCCCCCCCAAAGATCTAAATTCAAACACAAGATAAGCATGATCGTTTATTACTATTTTCTATTCTAAAGGAAAACAAAATTATTGCAGATTCTGAAAACAGTATTTTTACCATAAGATAAATTTTAAAAAACCCTGATGACCATTATTACAATGGCTAATGAAAGCCAATAGCTTTAAAAGATACTAAAATAAATCAAACAATAAAATAATGTCTGAACACCTAGCCGAGACTTCTTACTTGTTCATGAAACACTAAAACAGTGACAACTGTTGTAATAGAATTTGCTCAATAACAGGAAAGATTCATTGAAAGCCCCTCATATAAAATATTGCACTAACATAAGCCTAAATTGTTTCAAAATCCATTTAAAAGAAGCACACTGCTAACTATCAAAAAGCACAGATGTGACATAGGCAAAAGCAAAACCACTTCAAAAATCAAAATCCCACTTGTAGCAGAGTAGGATCTAATACCTTATTCAAATCAATGGTCTCTAGAGCTAACTGTCGAAGTCGCTCTCGGCGGTCACGGTTGCTCTCTGATGCAGAGGCCACACCGCCAGTGCCGGTTTTGCCCCCGGCACGATGCTGGAAATCCATGATTCACTTTGTGAGGTCTGGGCACTCACTGAAATCTGTGAGAAATAAAAAAGAAAGATAAGACGGATGTGAAGGCCACGATGAGGGTTCTGGTTCAAACCAAGGCAGAGTCAAAATGTCCTCCATCTATTCAGGAATACAGAAAAAAAATAAAAAAATATATGTCATCTTGCTCCTTTGATGAGGGTATGGTACACACGCTTTCCAGATTCGAGAAGACCTATTTTTTTACTTCTGACTTCTTTACAGTTTAAAAAATGAAATAATAATTATAACAAACACTCCTCGTGAGAGCCTCAAACAACCCGGCCAGCGCTCCAGGGCAGGTCATGAATTCAGATTGGTTCAAGGCTAAGCTTACACTCTTATTTCACAAATTTTTGTCATCCTATTACATGATGTATTTAGGCTAGGCCTACCCGTTCTCACACCCAGGTGAGAATAAAATCTCAGACGTGGGTGAGAATAAAATGGATACTATTCTCACCCAGAGTGAGAATAACAACAGACTTTTTTCACACCCTCACCCTCCCACCCCTCTTCCATTCTCCCTTTTATTTTCAAATTGTTGAGCATTGCCGTGTCCGCACACGGGAAGAGGAATCGAAGTCGTGTTCCGTGTGGTAAGTGAGTGAGGCGTTGTCAACCGCGACTGTTTCGCTGTGTCCACCTCCGCCCTCTTTAAACTCAGTTGCATACTACTGGGTGATTTTGTAGTTTCGTTCGTTTAAGTCCAAAGCTGAATGCCAGAGACCCTGAATTGCCAGGCAGGCCCTAATCATTCAGGAGTGAACTAAGCGTGAGACTTGAAAGCTGTCCTCAGAGAAATTCGCACCCGCAAATGGGCGCGCAACTTTTGCCATTTTCGTGAATTCAGGCCAATTTTCCACTAAATTTAGAAAAAAAAAATTTTTTTGTTAAAATTAACCAAAACTTTCTTCCACGACAAAAAAATAACGCCAAGGAGGGACAATTCATACCTGAAATAGATCTACCACTTCCTTTACACTTGGACGGCGGGGTGCCGCCCATTGCAGATGGGATCGGGTGGGGTCAGGTCGGGTGTTTGTTTTTTGAGGCAACGAGTTGGGTGCGATCGACTTGTGCCACGATAGCCGCTACGGGCCATCAATCTCGCGAGCAAACCTACCCGACCCAACCCCCAAAAGTCCTGTTTGGACAGAATAATCTTCTAGCTAGATATCTAGATCTAGATTACATCAATCGAAAACATGATAGTCTGATTACTTAGCTTACTTGGTTCCGTGTCACCAGGTAGATAGATGTAGTATTTGTGAAAGACTTTAAATCTCAGGTTAGGAGGATAGATCTAGACATGGATTGATTAATCCAGAAAGGGGACATTGAAATATAATCTTACACCTGGAAAAGGTGTGTGTGTGTGTGTGTGTGTGTGTGTAAGGAATATTTTTGGGAGTTTTATTTAAACCTGTGCTTTGACCCTATGCTATTTGTCATCGAGAAAGGTTCACTTGCTCAAGAAATCGGTATATTTGCAAATAAATGAATAATTCGGATCACTTGTGAGTCCGTTGTGTCGTCACGGACAAGGTGTTTCAGAAACCATTATTTTTCACAGTAGAATCACCACAGCTGGTTAAATCTTTTTGCTTTTCGTCGTTTATTCAATGTGCGAAAGGAACATCGGGTTCCTAGATAGAACGATTTTGGTCGACTGTTTAACATTCGCCGTGATCGTCGTCCCTTTGCGACGTACCGGAAGTCCGAATTTTAGCCCACTTTAGTTTTGAACGGATCATCAACAGTGCCCCGATATAATTGTTTTCTTGAGTGATTTCCCCTTACCCATTTCCCCTGAACAGCGGAAGCAACGGCGGAAAGAGAAAAACGAAAGTAGTCATTGCCGTCAGAGTCCGGTGACGCACAAGAATCATGCGTTGAATGTGGCGTACAGGACTGTTTTGTGTGTTTTTAGGCTGCCCTATTGAATATTTTAGTGAAATTGCGGTGTTTACATTGGATTCCTGGAACAAGAGTGTGAAGTGTGAACAAACTTCGAGAGATGGATCATTTCTGTGGTTATAGATTTAGATTTTGTGCTCAGTGATGAGGTTTGGGGTGTCGTCATGCAGCCGAACAAGACTGACTGACGTACTAGAAATAACATTGTCCTTTCAGGGCAAACATTTTTTATGTCATGTGTGCTCTCTTTACCTAAACAAACAAACATGTCCTTGTTTATCTGTCAAACTCAAAAGTACACATTTGTTCTTTGTTGGCATGATATGCCTTTTTCCAATACATTGTGTCACCATTGTTAAATGAAAGTACAAGTAATATTTGTCATCATTGCTAATATCAATAAGTTATCAACATATATTTCATAAATGCAAGATTCATTTAGAAGCAAAATATGCCTTTATTGATCTGTGTATCTCATAGAGAGCAAATTTGTTCTTTGTAGGCATGATTTTACCTTTTCCCAGTATGTTTTGTCATCACTGTTATGTACAAGTAGCCTACTGTTTGTCATAATTAGCAAGTACATAATTGTGATTGTCCACTGTCTTTGATATAACCTGATATCTGTTTCAAAGTAAAAGACTTCTGGATTTCTTCTCTGGATGTAAACAAATGGATCGTGGACTTTAAAGAATGGAACTACAAGATCACCGACCGCATGACTATTCCGGGCCCGTTCATTGGTCACTTGAAATAGGGCAATGGCGGGCGCGCGCATCCGGTTGTTTTTCTCTCTATTCCCCTGTAACATCGCAATGGGGGTATTCCGAGGCGAGGTTATCTCGTCTCGGGGTGTTCGCGTCTCAACGGGGAAAAATAATTTTTAATTGTACGGCATGCTAGATTGAATTAACTTATGTTTTACGGTTGGCATGGTCTAAAGTCATCATAAAAAGCTTTGCAATTATTTAGTCACGCTGCCGACATATATTCTTAAAGATCCCATGTTGTGATACGATGCTATAAATAAAATGGACTCATCCCGACACCCCTTTTTCGCAAAATCGTAATATGTACACCACAATTTTAATTATAACAAAATAACTACGAAATTGGTAGTAAATCTGACTGCAGAAATGATTTCCACACTCAAAAACACATCGGGTAGCAAAGTTTCTCTCGAACACTCTGATTAGTTACCGAGATATCGTTCCAGGGTTCCTGCCATGAACTTCCCATCAAATTCAAGGAGGTTTCAAGGAGAAATTTTTAAAATTCAAGGAGGTTTGGTCAAGAAATTCACGACGAAAGCCTATTTTCGATAGGCCTACACTTGTCAGAAAGGAATCATATATATATATCATAGTTTCGATTTCCAACAAAAACTGTTCCCAGGGTGACTGCCAACACGGCTTCTCAATTTTCCCGGTGGGCTCATCCATTCTCCAGGGGCATGTTACATAACAATGACAGTGCATGCTCCATTTATATTTTATATATAATATATAATTATATACACACACGCGTGCGCGCACACATGTCAGAATTGCACTGGAATACTGTTTGACTTGGGTATTTCAGTCTGTTCTTATACTTTTTTATATTTTCCCCTCATCATATTCGCCTATATATAAACTATATAAAAATGAATCTTGCTTTGAGCCTGAGAAAATGTCTAGAACCAGAATATCGACCGTCAAGAACCAGTTTGGGAGTCAAAGTTTTTATAATAAATGTGAAAGACAAAAACATGAAAGGCTCAAGTAGACCTATTCAGTGTGAGAGGTGTAAGAACTGTGGGAGGGCAAGATGCGGTGACACTGAAAATCTGCGAATCTTGAACAGAAAGCTAAATTAAAAATATAGAATATAGTCGCACGGTGCTCGGGAGGGCTCCTTAGCGTGTGTGTGTTTATACGGAGCGTGCGTTTACATGAACCTTAGCAAGGGGAGGAAGGGACGCAGTCATCTCAATTCGTTATTACTCTAGTGATCTCCCTTGGAGGAGGGGGTCATTTTGGCAGATAATGTGACGGCACCAGACTTTTGTGAAGGATTCTCCGACAGGGGTTAAGAATACAACGGACTTGAATTGGGTGGGGGGGGGGGGGGGAGAAAGACAAACTCAATGTAATGAATCGGCACTATAAACGTCGGGAACAGATAGCCTAAGAGGAAACTGTTGGAGATAGTCTTAAATCTATGATGTCATGTTGGACAAGAATCAGAGTCCGAATAACATTTTTTCATATTCGGACTCGAGTCCGAATAGTCACTTCGTGACCAATTAGCCTCAAGATGTCAGGGTCATGGGTCAAAGGGCACGGTGGCACGGTCGTGATTACTGAAAAACTCGGTAAGAGACGTCAGTTGATTGCTGGCAGTTGAAGAGTGAGGTCGTAGAAAACTGATTAGGAGAGTGAGTTGGGGAGCGACTGGGAAGCGCGCAGGCCCTATATAAAGGGCATAGACGCTGACCCTTTTCAATGGAAAATTCCAGTGTTCCTTATATGGAAAATGACGTAGTCAATTACAGGCCAAAGTTATAAATAGTGACCAATGACTTTGCAAGTTATCTTGACCTCGTAGAGCGTCTCTTGGCCGAGATATCGATCGATAAAGTGACGCGGTCCCACTGAGCGACTACACTCTATGTGTCACTTGTTTTGCCGTGCTGATGTACTAATTGTTGAGTCTATCGCGTTCTGGGCTTTGTGTGTATTTATTTGATCGCAGATCATTTTTGAATGGCTCATTCTATCAGCTTAAAGAAAATATATGCTTTTATATGCTTTTTATCATCAGTTGAGCCGTAATTGGTCATTTTTCAGTAGCAGGTATACATTTCGGGTATCTCAGCTGTTTCCCCCCCCCACCAAACCCCCATGTTTACAACTGATTGGCCGTGGCGGCGGGGCATTTTTAGCGGGTTACTTCCGGTGAAACGCTGAACGCTTCAAGGGTTTAAAAAACCAAAACATGGGGTGTTTCAGAGGGGCATGCCCTGATTTTCTTACAGAATCTGCTACTGCGTGGTCCACTTTTTAGGAGTATTTTCCTATATGTGGGTCATCCATATTTTGCCGACCTTTACAACCCCATAACTTTTTTATTTATGAACCGTTTCTCAAAATTCAAGAAGCATAATTATCAGAATTGAAAATTCTTTCTTAGGTACCAAAAAAAAGGGGGCAAAAGTGAAAATTTAAATTTTCATTGGCATTGCTAAATTGTGATTCCTCCAACTCCAAAACGGAGGAAAAACGATCGTTCATCGAAAAGACATCCGCAATCTTCATTTCGATCTAGGCTAGCCGCGAAACTAGATCAAAGATTTAAGTTTGCCTAGATCTAGACCATAGATCTAGAAGAACCTAGATCTAGATCTAGATTTAGGTCTACCCTGAGCCAAGAGGGCGCTGGAAACTCTCCGAAATCACAAAAGACAAAAGTAGCAATGCCAATCGCCCGCTGCGCCTTGTGCCGGAAATCGGCCTCCGCTCGAGGGGTATTTTTTGGGCCGCTCGGAATCAGAAGTGACTGTCTTCTAAGTTTAGTTACGGGAAAACTCCTGGACGAAAATAAATGAAACTCGGCAACCAACCAGAGGAAAGGTTAAACTAACGACATGCCAGCGTACAATCCCGAACGATTACTAGAACCGGAGATATTGCCGTGTTTGTGAGAATTTCCTCTGCGGTTCGAAAACTAAGCGGAGCTGCGGGTTGATCGCTGACCACACAAGCGCCCCACATGTCTTCTTTATTGCTGTAAAATTTCAGATCTCTGCGTTTAGTAGATTTTCCGTACCAACTTAAAATTACCACCCACCCATTGATAAAACACTAGATCTAGAAACTTAATCGCGCATTCCAAACGCGAGGTGCCGGCATGCAAGAGGCACGTGATCGCTAGGCGGCATGTGATTGGCTGCCTATAACCAAATGGGTCACCGATGACTACATCGCGGGTTTTCCCGATAGCGCTTTACTGAGTTTTAGAAGGGGTGATCGCGTCGCGGTAAAAACGATGTCACGCAATTCAACAAATTTCACGCAAATATCAGTCTTTAAGATCCAAAGTAATGAAGACAACGAAAAAGTGATAGCAGAACTAGATTTGGCATTAAAAATCACATGGAGATGCCAAGTTTCATTCATATGCTCCAATTCATTACTGACTTATGAACAGTTTTTCCTCAAAATACATCAAAACATGTCCCACATTTTGGTGATTTTTTCCTATATGAAGGTCCTCCAACATTTTGCAAACAAAAATCCCAATGGCCAATAACTTTTTTATTTATCAATGGATTTTTAAAATTTAAAAACCACAGTTCTTAGAATTTACTCTAGTTTCATTTAAGCCCATTTTTAAGCAATTCGGATGAAAATTTAATTTTTCATTGTCATTGCTAACAAAAGAGTTCCCTTACCGGGTCTGTATACTTTGTGACTTAATTCCCGGTTACCGGGTCTGTATACACTCCCTTTGGCAAAAGCTCATATATAAACACGACTGTCCGCTCACGTTATTGTTTCGAATTTTGGTGTTTTCTTTATTATAGTTTCCAGGAAGGTAAGCCCCCCTGAACCCCCCTCCCCCTCCCCACTGTTGGTATGATACACGGTGGTCCACCAAAGTTAAATCCCCTGCCCATTCTCAACCACCAACTCTCGCTCACCTCGCCTCGCCAGTTGCTGCTGGCTTGCACTGTGCGTGCGCGAAGTCGTCCGCGGAACTACCTTTTGTCCGCACGCAGAGTACTATGACTATGAGAGCGTAGTTAGGCTAGGTGTGCGTCGTAATCACGGGCCGAGACGGGTGGTCCGGTAAAGTACAATCCAGCCCCCCCCCCCTACTCTTGACTTTAACGAACGAAACTACAAAGTCGCCGTCTAGTCTAGGCCTCCTAGTGGCCATCTCGGCCGGTGCGTGTGTGATAGTGAAGAAGCAGCATCAGGATCATAGAATACTCATCAGTATACTGCAGTATGACCCCAAAAGCAGTGCCCTTAGGAGCCTTATTTATCGTACATCAACAATATTTCCCCCAAATCTACCTGACTGCAACGACTATCACCTACCCGGTCGTTACAACAATTTTAATCAGTTAGGTTTCTCTCTTCGAGGTTCGCTGTCAGACTGTCAACAAGAAGCGGCCATACATGATTGAACTTCCGGTTTGAGATTACTCGTGACAAACGAGAATTAATTGTGAATAAATATTTATAATTTATTTTTTGTATACGCTGTGCTAAATGTTATGATTTATATAAAAATCATGATTTAAAATAATTTAACTAAATTATAAGTTGAGAATTCACATCTCATTCTTCCCCTGACTACCGGTGCAACAAATATGGCGTCATAAACATGACTGAGTTCCTCTCTCTCTACACTAGCAGCATTCCTTTGTTGGGGCTCGGGGTTCTGACAAAGTGCCTGACACGATGACAGTCTTTTTAAGGGCCTGGAACAATTCACTCTCACTTGATTTCGTGCGAGGTAAGTCAAATGTGATGAGAAGAAACCCAATGAATCACCTTCTAGATCTAGATATCTAGATTAGATCATAGATCTAGAATCTAATCAGACTAATTAAACTAGATATTAGATCTAGATCTAGATATATAGATCTAGTTTTCCACGAGCCTGGCCTAGAATCCTAGAATCTCTATAGAGTCTAGATCTAGATCTAGATCTAGACAATCTAGACCTAGAATCTAGATCTAGATCTAGATAGATCTAGACAATATATATCAATTTAGGAAGTGCCTGTTTGCAACGGACGCCGCGTTTCCTTTATTAGCACCAGTCAGTGCTAAATAAAACGCCATTTTTGTTATATTATATATATATGAAACTTGATCTACCTTTCTTTGTTGGAAGTTCTGATGGCTGAAGGGACAGTGCATCTGGGTTTGAAGCCAAACTAGAATCTACTATTTTATGAGCGTGGGTTAGATCCCGGTCCTGGAATTGTTCTTTTTTTTTGTGAGTGTATACAGTTAATACAGACCCGGTAACTGGAAACAAAGTCACAAAGTATACAGACCCGGTAGGGGAACTCTTTTGTGATTTCGGAAAGTTTCAGCGCCCTCTTGGCTCAAGGTAGACCCAGGTTCTTCTAGATCTAGACAAACAGACATAAATCATTGATCTAGTTTCGAGGCTAGCCTAGATCTAGAAATGAAGATTGCAGATGTCTTTCCGATGAACCATCGTTTTTCCTCCGTTTGAAGTTGGAGGAATCACAATTTGAAGAAAAGAACAATTAACAATGTCACAATATCAATCGAGAAGTCACCCTCTCTATTTCTCTCTCTCTCTCTCTCTCTCTCTCTCTCTCTCTCTCTCTCTC